TGGAGTAAAGTATTCCAAGCTCTGAAAGAAAATAACCTCCAGCCCAGATTGATATATGCTGCTAAACTGTCTCTAGAAATTAACGGAGAAACAAGATGCTTCCAAGACAAAGAGGAACTTGGGAAATTCGCAACCACTAATCCAACTCTACAGAGAATATTGCAAGGCATTCAGAGAGAGAGAAAAGTACTAGGACTCTAGGAACAGTAGCAGAGAGGCCTCAATGAATGGAGCAGAAAACAGAATGAAGAAGATAAGCAGACAACTGATGGCAAAAAAAGAGCATAACAGAAATGAGGCAGAGAAGATTTTATTCAAACTGATATGATTGATAGTATCAAGTCTGGGAGTATAGGCAACTACACTGAAGATGACAAAACTTGATATACATTATGGTTTGATAACTGCTGGTTTTTGAAGTTCTGTACTATATACAAAGTTGTGTTTTTATTAATACTATTATGTACTGACATATTCAATTATACTATGTCTGATGATATAGCCAATTCTATTGGAGATAACAAGAGACAACGAAGGAACTATGGTAGAACTCTTTGTACAATGGTCTTATATTTTTTTTCATTTTATGCATTTATAGGAATATGTTTTGTTTTGTCTTGCTTTATTTTGTTTCTCCCTCTAATATAGAAAGGATAGAAATACATGTTAAGACTCATGCATGTGTAGAATCTATAAACAATTTATGAGAACTGATCTTATGACACATGATAAAATGAACAGATACTTTGAAGAAAAAGAGACACTAAAATACCCAGTGCTTATCCTGGAGTATCATAATGTGAAACACAGCAATAGTATTATTCTTTGTTCAGAGTGATATTAGCCTGCTTTATTCAATCTCAACATAATTGAAGATATGGGTAACTACATGTATGTTTAGGTGTATAGGATTGATAATCATATTTCTAAGCTTTTGTTGGATAGTTGAACAGAACTGGTTGCAGTCTCACTGTTTGAATTCCCACTTTATAAGCTCCACTTTAGTATCTTGAATAACTATTTGTAAGAAGACAATCTGTAACCATCAACTAGTGATTTCTTAATGTTTATTTTTTTCTTTGAAATTATGTATTATTTCTACTCGTTTTCTGTTTTGTTTAATCTTTCTTTAAATTAAATTTTTAAAAAAAGACACTACAGTACCCAGTGCTGATCATGGAGTATCTTGATGTGAAATCCAGCAATACTATTATTCTTTGTTCAGGATTATTTTAACCGGCTTTAGTTTGTTTAATCTAAACATAAATGAATATATGGATAACTGCATGTATGTATAAGTGTATAGGACTGACAACCATGTTACTAAGTTTTTGTTGGACAGTTGAACAGAACTGTTTGTAATCTCGCTGTTTGAATTCCCACTTCACATGTTCCAATTTTGTATCTTGAACAACTATTTGTAAAACGTCAATATGTAAACATCAACTAGTGATTTCTTACTGTTTGTGTTTTTCTCTGAACGTATGTATTATTTCTACCTATTTTCTGTTTTGTTTAGTCTTTCTTTAAATAAAATTAAAAGAAAAAACCAAAACAAAAATATGAGTTATGAGAGATAATAAGTGCATATATAATAAGTGTAGTAACAAGTATATAATATACATGTAAAAATAAGTATAAGCATAAAATAATATAAATTATGAGGATAAATGTAAAACATTTATGAAATCAATGTTGCTGAAGCTACCTCTGTCTTCTCACACACTCCCATCTTCCTGGCCCTTTAGAGAAGTAGCCACTGTTCCAAATTTTGTTTTTATCTTTTCTTCAGTGTTTTAAAAATAGCTCTATCACATATGCATGTTTCCTTAAGCACTGCACTTGTGTGTGTTGGAGTGTCTCTAACAAATTGCTAACCCTCACCCAGCACGGCACTTCCTCTGTTCACCCATGCTGTACCCAGGTATAGCTCACCAACTTCACTGCTGAGTAATAATTCAGTGTGTGGACACTTGGCCACCTCTTCTCCTGAAAGTGAGCACGGGGTTGATTTTATGTTGTTTTCCATCATATGGACAAGTAGTTGCTGTGAACATTTTTACCTGTGTTTCCTGGTAAGTGATTTTTAAACCTGCAGATCACAGTCCATTAGTAACTCAAGAAAATTGATATAGGAGGCAACCTGTATGCACAGCACAGGTGGAGGACATAGAGGGGAGTGAGAGGGCGAGATTGGTTTCAACCAAAGCAGGCATCCTAATTACCAGAGTGAGGAGCACAGAGAGGAAGAGAGCCAGCTGAGGGGAACGTCCATAAGGTCTCCTGGGCTTTCTGGAAGCACGGGGTTATTCCTTTGGCTGTGTTTTAGGAATCCACAGTAAGGATATTGCAGACACAAAGATCACGTACTATTCTAACAGAAAAGCCTCACAAGTGTTAACTGTGGCAAAACTGCAAAGAATCTAGAATGTCAAACTTCACTGCTCCAGCTGCTGAGCTAGTTGGATCAAGAAGTTTTTGCCAAAAGATTCATGTGCAACTTCAGTACAGCACGCCCTGCTCTGGAGGGAGGCAGCTTGCTGAAATGCAAGGGAAAATGCTGGGCATGGAAGGGCAGTCAGAGGAGAGAGAGCTCCTGTGTGTAGGGAATGGCTGTGTTAGGTCCGTCTGTTGCCACAGCACATGGCGATCCCAGCTTTTAAGCCACATTGATACCTTTTTCACTTAGTTTGTTAACTGGGCCCATTGCATTTATCAGTATTATCAATGTATTTCCCTGCAACTCAGTCACATCATTTCATGATATAATTACAGGAGCTGTTGTGTATTTGCTGTATTTTCTTTCTCTACATATTTCTCATTGTGCCTTTTGTTTTTAAATTTCTTTGGATAATTAAGAAAAACTTTTGTTTTCATTCCAACTTTGTACTTAACTTTGTACTTAAGTCTTTTTATTACTTTTGGTCACTTTTTTCCCATTTAACCTTTCACTCTCTTATTTGTTGGTTCTAACAATGTCCTTTTATTCCTACCTGTTGTCTATGGAATAATCAATGAGCTTATTTCACTCCCTTCTTTCCCTGCTCTCATTTATTTACTGCAGCTATTTCCACCTTGTCAAATCAGTGAAGAAGACGTGGATCTTATGCATGGAGTCTCTCTCTCTTTTTCCAGTTAACATTAGATTGGCATTTAAACCTATTAAATGTTTGGCATCCATCTGTTTGCTTTTAGTTGGAAAATGTTCATCCTCTGGGATACTCCTCAAGAAAGACTGGTCAGTGCAATATTTCCTGAGTGTGGGCATGTTTAGTGTGTGTGTGTGTGTGTGTGTTTAAATCTAGCTATGTCTTGAAGAGCAGGCCAGACCATTCTTAGTTCATGTTATCTGTCTGTGATATTTTATTTTGGGTGGACAGTGTCTTTCCCTGTATTATTTTTAATATGTTACTCCTGACTGCCTTTGAAACTTTCTGTTATTTTTTGCGGTGCTGGGATTGAACCCAGGTCCTGGCACATGGTAGACTCCTGCCTCACATGTGCTGTAGCTTGGACCTTCTTTTCCTTGTGCCATTAGACAGCACCCTAATTTTCTTGCTTTTATAAATTATTTGACTTTCTTCTTCCTCTCCATCTTCCTCCTCCTCTTTCTCTTCCCCCTTCTCCTCCCTCTCTTTTTCCTCCTCTTCCTCCTCCTCCTCCCTCCTCTCCTTTCTTCTTCTCTTCCTCCTCCTTCTTCTTTGGCTTGGAAATCCAGATGATGATTTTTCCCTCTATATTTAGAGAACGTTTTTTGTGTGTTTTGTGCGTGGTTTTTGTACCAGAAATCAAATTCAAGACTTTGCATTTGCCAGGCAGGTACTGTGCCATAGAGCTACACCCTTGGCCCAAAAGTCTAAATAATTTAATAAGCTATGTTAATTTTTCCTGGCTATTCATTCATGTTAAATGTTATTTGGGAAGAGTTTTATTCTGCTATTTACAAGGGTGGGCAGAGTTCATCAAATTTATCTGTTGAACACTTTGATTCTTATTTTCTATTTTTTCATAAAGCTTTGTGTAGATGAAGGCTGCTTATATTTGTGCATTTTATTGGCAGGTCTATTTGTTTATGGTGTGTATCAATCACCCCTGTTTACACAGCAAACCACTGTAAGATTATTGCCTTAAAATGAAGATGTCAGTGGCTCATGTGTGTTGGCTGTGGGGGAACTTCAGTGGCCTGGCCAGAGCCGATGGGCTGACTGAGACTGTGCTCAGCTGCAATGGACAGCTGGCCTCTCTGTCCACGTGATCTTTCATGCTGCAGGCAGTGTCCTAAGGCAGTCAGCAGGGGCGACTGGGAGGACTCCTAGGTCCCGGGCTCAGACATTACACAGCAGTGCCATTGCATGGCACACACCAAAGGAAATCACAGGAGTAGTTCCGATTCCAGGGGAGGAGGAACTGCATGTTAACTCACACCTTGAAAGAACACAAGTGGTGGGATTGGAGGGGCTCTGGCATCAAGCTTTGTGAACAATCTACTGTAGAAAATTCTTAGACCAAGAGACTACTCTGCTGTCCATGCAGCAAGGCGGCTATGTAAGAATCCGCTTTTTTTTTTTTGAGAAATGAAGAGGAGGCTAGGATCCCGTGTCTCTCACGGATTGGTTTCCTTTGTTTTTAAGTGTTTTAAATTGCCCCATTCATTTAATTTTTCCTTCATTACTGAGTCTCCCGAAGTGACCCTGCTTGTCTCTTTCGGCCCTTTTCCTCCCTGAAGTGGACATTCCTTTGAAACTGTCAGATCAGGCCCTGCAGGCTGGTAAGTCTCCTCTCTGAACTAGGGTTCTTGCCTAGCACTTTCACAATCCGGATATCCTTCCCTGCAGTGTTTTAAACTAAGTTTTAAGCCCTTTCATGTATGTTTGCTTTCTCATGGACAATCCCCCACCTCGTCACGAAGGTTGGTGATGGGAAATTTGAGCTCGATCTTCCCTGGAAACCAGTGTTTTTTTTCTACAATGGCAAGCAGAAACACCAAAGGACACCCAAGATTTGGAGGCAGATTTATTTAACATCGGATAGGCACTGACTAGGAATCAGTTGTTTCTCAGAATGTCAGGCCTTGAAGGCCCAGGAAGGGAGATTTTTATGGGTTTGCAAAGGGATGAGGGTACTGAGGAAGAGCACTTGGCTGTCTTTGATTGGCTCTTACAGTATGCACCATAGTGACCAGCTATGCGTCACAGTGACCAGCTGTTTCTAAGCAACAGAAACAACCGGCCCTGGAACAGGAACTGTCACCTGGGCAACTGAAGTGGACTGGCTGGGGGGAGGCTGGGAGGGTGGCCTTTTCCACTACAAGGTGACTTGAAGTTTGTAACCGGTCTTCCAGCCATGCTGGTAGCATACTGTGTTTCACTCGTCGTCCTGGAACTCGGTGTGCCAGAGGACGTGTTCCGAGATCCAGCTGTAGGTGGCCACCCTTGTCTCAGCCATCAGGACTTTATCCCTGCCGTGACTAATTGTTTCCATCTCCTTGGTCTGTATGTCGTACTTCTGGATACCTTTTTCAGATTTACTCATGAGTTCCACCTTTTGGGCCGATATCACCATTTCATTTGAAGCACACTTTCCCCCGGAGGGTCCCAGTTTGTGAAGCGGTCCAGGTTCGTCTCTTCCACTTGTGCTGTGTTTCAAGAGGTGATGCTGCCTGTTGCAAGCTTATGTGCTGCTCACTATTCCCATTTTAAGCGCCTGCTCTTTCATGTTTATTACTTTTCTCCCTAAGCCTCTCCCTGTCTACCCCATCCCACATGCTTTGGACACCTTTTATGCGCACTCAGCACCTGGTAGTTCCCAGCAGAAGGCCAAGTGCCCATTGTTAATTTCTCCTTCTCACCCTGTTCCTTAACACAAAGCAATTCCACCGTCTTGAGGCTGATCCCATTGGGATGTTGGTAAGAGCAAAAGGAATTGATTGGGAAGTGGAGGAGAATTTGAGGTAGCATGAAGATCTTAGTCAAAGCAGACTGAACATTTGTAGGAATGTTACCTGTGAAACAAGGCAGCCCAGAACAGGATCTGGGTTACAGCTAGAATACGCGCTGGGTGGGTTTGCCTCTAAGAAGCCGCGATAGGCTTCGTTAGTTGTGCACAATGATGTCTGATCTGGGAACAGTGAAAGTCTTCTCCAGTACAGTGCATTCCTTTGTTTTCCCAGTAAGCAGGGCTGGTGACAAGCACAGTGGCTCACTAACTATTTATAACTTATATTTTGTAGTAATTGTGCCTTTTGCTGTTCCTACTCACAGGGCAACAGTGTTTTAAATTCCTGTGCATGCTCTCCTGGTCCGGGAGCCTGTTCTTTGGGTGTTGCTGTCTTGCTGTATGATATTTAGAAGCTGCTTGCTTCCTACCCAGCCACCTCAGGACCAAATCCTCTGCTTCTTGCGGTCCTTAACTACCACTTTTATTCACTTTGGTTCACATAAATTGCTTTTTCAATAATCTCTCTTATATCCTTGTTTTTAAACCTTTAGATTCCCTCCAGGGTAGGATAATTGACATCCTTGTTCGAATGGGGAGGAGGATTAAACCTTTAGACTCAGTTTCCAAGCTCAGAGCAGCACCTTGAAGGAGACTGAGCCTCTCACAATAATGCTCCATTGCTGGGCTTGTAGGTTGACCATACTGCACTGATTTAGAGAAAGTCCTTGAGTGTGTTAAGGTGGAAAGTCTTTGTTCTGCTAATCTACTTTTCCCTAAAGGTAAATTGGCTAGCTGTGTTTTAGGAATGCCTCCGAGTGTCGGGCAAAAATGTTCTTTCTATGGTGTAGGGGAAAGAACGGGAAAGATCCTTGAAAATGCATAAGCTGTGGTAGAAATGATCTCCATAGGGGCCACAGAACTATGAAAAGGCAGAATCAAAACTGTCCAGCTGTCCGGCGAGGGTTTCACGCACACAGCCCGCAGGACGTGTGTTGAGTGCTCCCTGCGAGTCTCTGTGACGCCCTCTGCCCAGCAGCCGTCTGGTCACTGTGTCATCTCCACCTCAGCGTCAGGTGACAGACGACCGCCCAGTGGTCTGTGCTGGGTGGTTTTCCAGGAAGGCCAGACGCATCGGTCACTGAAAAGGCCAAACACTGCATTTTCCGAAAGAAAGGATCATGACTGCCGGTGGTAGTTGTGTGTCCAGGTGGTGGAGACAGATTTTGGTTTTCAGTGAGTTCTTTCTAGTGGACCTGTCAGGTCCCAGAGCAGTCGCCAATGTGTTCATTTGGTGATTCTGCCAATAGGAGGCGACCTAAAATCAAATCTTTACAGTGACCACTGTAAAACCATCCCCTTTCCTCTGCAGAGTCTTGCAGGCGTATTTTCCCTGTCCTGGCCTCATTCAGCATCTGGGGAGGATGGCACAGCTCCCTTTGTAGACAGATCAAACACATGCACAAAGGAAAGTGGCCTAGAAAATGTGTCCTTATGTTTAAAATCAGAATAACTTTCCCCCAAAACTGTGAGACTATTTTAACATCTCTTAGCCCCTTTAAAAAAATACATGTCTAGTTGGAAAGTGAAGAACTCAAAGCCCGTGACTTTGTGTGCCATTTATTACATCAGCATATTCCATTTCTTTTTCTGCACGGACAATACCTGCTTACTGAAATATGCTTAGAGACCTAGAAATAGAGATGAAAATGTATATGCAAGGTAAAATTTGAAAAATCTTGAAATGCATGCTACAGATTCCCAAGAATATGTCAGTCAAAATGCAATTTGGTTAGTTTGAAAGAGGATGGGGATCTGACGGATACCTTGTTAGGTCTTCATCATAGGTGCGTAAGGAAAATATAAGGCAGGAAACATTCGACCTTGTGTCACTGTGAAAAATACCTGAGATAAAGATGCATACAAGGACAAAGACTTTATCTGGCTTGTGGTTTCAGACCATGACTGCTTGGTCTTGATGCTCTGGGCCTCCATCATCACGGAGGGGATACAGGGGTGAGGAGGAGGAGGCCTGTTTACTTCAGGGCATCTGGAAAGCAAGAGGAGAGCACAGGAAGGCGCTGTGAGCAGGACCTCGATACCCCACCAGCAACTATTTTTAAAAATATTAAACCTTTAGGAAACATAACACAAAGTGAACTATAGAGCAATCGCAGCCATGGAGTTAATGCAAACACTAGGAGAATGTTAGCAAATAGGATTTGGAACGTTCACTGAGGCAACTTGAACATGGGGAGCTGTTCTAAGAGGGGAAGGGAAGGATAATTTAATGTTAAGTCTATTTAAGGGTCACAGGTATAGCTCAGTGGCATAAGAGCCTGCCTGGCAAGTGCAAGGTCATGAGTTTGGTCCCTGGTGCAGGAAAGAAATAGAGAGAGAGAGAAAGAAAGAAATCTATTTAAAAATCCCACATGCAAGTTTTAAGGCAACAGATAATGTCATTTTACTCTGCAATTTCCAGGTAACTGGGGGCAACTTTAGAGTAAATAATTAATACAGAGCTTTAAGGAATAGGAATAAAGACCTGTGCCTCTTGCTGATCTTCTGTATTCTTAATCCCTTTCCTCGCCCCAGAGACAGTCCTCCTAAGGGACAGTATTCCACGTTCTCCCTGCTTCCTTCCCTTCTTTTTCTTTCAATTCTTCCTTCTTTCCTTTTTGCATTTACATAGAAACACATTTAGAATTTATTAGGACTCATTTTGTGATGAAGTAAGTGACGGATTCCTAAATATTCCAGGAGTGTTTCAAAACACAGCAGCAATGACAGTAAAACAAAACTGTTCCGAAGATGACTAGCTGTGCGCTCCAAAGCTGCCAACGAAACAGTCTCACGTGTTGTTTTAGTCATCTGAGAGCCTCGCCCAGCTAAGAACAGGCAAAACCACAACAAAACAACGTTCTGTGCAAAAAACGATTGTTCTGTCTTTTCAGGGAATAGTAAACTTTAGAAAACAGTTGTCTAAATTAATATTGTTTTACCGTGAATTTAAATTGGTATAATTCTTCTTTGTTAGCTCCTGCATTTTATTTTAATGACTTGTTTTATAAAAAATGTATGCTTAACATATCTATAAAATATAGGAAATATATAAAAGTGGAAGTCAAAATTTACTCTTAATCTTACTGCCTAAAAATAACCATTATAAATATTAAACTTACATAATTCCAAAAAGTTCATTAATGCTGGTAGGTACATAAGAAATATGTTGGTTGGAAGCGTTCTCATAAAAGTAAATTCATATAATGTACATTTTGGAAAGAAAACTATTTGGGGGCTGGGGGTTTAGCTCAACGGCATAAGCACCTGCCTTGCAAGCAGGCGGTCGTGAGTTCGATCCCCGGTACGGATAAAAATGAAAAAGACAAAAAAAAAAAAAAAAAAAAAAAAAAAAAAAAAAAAAAAAAAAAAAGAAAGAAAACTATTTGACTTTACTTGAATTTAGCTGAAAAAAATAACCAAATTGATACTCATAGAAATGCTGAAACTCACAAATGTTTCTTGGTTATAGCCACCATTAGGTTCTAAGTTATTTCTTTGCCCTGAAGGGTGAAAAATGTTACCTTTCTCCTTGCTTAAGTGTATCTTAGCAGTGACCCCTGCTTCACTGTTGTGAAAAACACAGCTAATAACTCCCTCTCACCTCTCCCATTTCCCATTTCTCTTTTGTTACATTGTTATTTTTACTTTGATGGAGGCTGTAGTACTTCTATCTCTAGCACAGTATTTATAGTATTTTCAGGGCAGTATAGCTGTAATTCTAGAGGAACTTGAACTGCAGTGTAAGCCAAGCTCGGTGGTATGGATTCCATCTTTACCCTGTGTTAGTTGATTGAATTTTATCTCTAGAATTTTTTCCAGAAGACTCCACAGGTGCTGTGCTGCCAAGTTCTTATTTTCTAATTGCCTTCTATTTATTTAAAAACTCTGATTTCTGTTGTACCCTAAGAAAATAGCTTTGTTATATGTGTATTATAGCAAACCTGTATAGGGGCTTACTAAATGTGTTTGTTTTATCCTTTTTCCCTAACTGATATGTTAAGGGACCTAACTGATCTGTTGAGCAACACTCTCCTCTGTAAAGAATTGCAAAAATCTCACCTAATTGATATGTTAACCATTGTTGCTCTCTACAAACTACAGAAGCTGTGCTAAAACAAGCTAACAAGGGTTGTTAATCACTGCTAGGAGCCTCTATTCTCCGCTAAAGAGCTAAGGAAAACTAGAATGGCAATTAATTTACATTTGTTTAAAGTAACCTGCTTGTGTGCAGAGAGATTTGCGTGTGAGTTTAACCCTTTACCCTGACCTTGACACATTACCGCCGTTTTCTGTTCTGTATGGCGCCTTATTGCCTCCCTCTCCCCTCACCTATCTATCTAGGCCATAAAGAATTTGGGTTTCTGGTGACCTCCCCCTGACCCGGTGATGATCTGTTGTAAAATGAGCCTGCCCCAATTTTAAGAACTGCTTAGCTTAAAACAAATTACCGGGTAATACTATGGCCCAAACCCCAATCGGTGCTTTCCTTTTGTTCTGTATATATCAAATGAGTTAGATATCAGGTCTTCGTAAAACTTAAGTTCCAGCGTCTCATAACTTGTGACCCCTTCGCACTCACTAGCGAAGACAAGCTGTCCTGAGATAATTAACTGTCCACTTTCTTCTCCAAATATTGCTGCAGACGTGCCACTCTGAGATAATGTCAGTCTGCAGGATGAAAATAATTTTTAAAAAACACCAGAAACTCCCTAGATTGTCAGAGCTAAGTAGACAGCAATACAGTTTCCAGACTCGGGTCAACAAGTTTGATGGCTCTACAGGTTTCTTTGTTTCTCTCCCCCCGCCCTTTCCTCCAGCCCCTTTTTAAAGTCCTCCCTGCAGCTTCTAGGGGACAGTCTCCAAATTGGCTCCCGGAGACTGGTCGCCAGGCCTGAAAATAAAGCCTTTGCCACTAAATTTTCGGTCTCTTGCCTCCTTGGATTTTATACCGGGGCTCAAGTTATAACATTTGGGGGCTCGTCCGGGATGGAAGCAAGACCCCAGACTCATTTCTAAACATTTGAAAGTAAGTGCTCTGGAGGATTTGTTTGGGCCGCGGTCAATTTGTAATTTTGAGGGGACGCCCTCAATTTGGGAGCGGGAACCACCCGAGGACAGAGTCAGTTGGTTTGTAGGACAAATTCTGTCCATTTGTGACTCTGCCCTGGGTGGGGAACAGCTCCGTTTGGAAGGGGACGCCCTTAATTTGGGAAGTGAAACCTCCTGAGGACAGAGTCAATTGGTTTTTGCCATTTGTGACTCTGCACCGGGTGAGGAACCACTCTGTTGGTTAATTTGTTAATTCCTCCAGATCCCAAAATTTGACTAATTTTTGGGCAAAGGCCATTTTTGCTGCAGCTTGTCTCGTCTTGTATGTCTGTTTGTTTGTCCATTTGTTCTAATTGTTCTCCTTTTGGTTACCCTAAATCTAACAGAACATTCTCTCCTAGGAACCCCTTCTATGAGCCCAGAATGGACAAAGGGATTTAGATATTGATGTGCAGTGTTTTTGTTCTTTAAAATTGTTTGCCTGTTTGGATTTGTTACTAACTTAGGGGCTTGTTGCCCATTTCTGTTGCAGGATCCATATGGCTTATTAGATTCAAGCTTCATAATAAGAAAAATTATTTCCTTTAGCTCACCAAACTGTGCAAAAAGCACCCTTTGTTTGTGTCTTTAATGTTGTGGCGCCTTGTTTAATATGTAAGTCTTCAACTGATTGCTTGCAACCTTGGCATGCCTTTTAAAAGGAGTATTTTTCTTTCTGGTTAAAAAGTAAATATATGTGCACATATATGTATATATTTATGGTTTTTAAGAATCATATCAACTTTACCAAGTAAAAACCAGGTCATACTGTAATTGAGCCAGTTAAAAGGTTATAGCTTTAAAAAAACCCAGCATTTTAATGTGGTAAAAAGACATAAAATTAATTAAATATGTTTTAGACTACTAGAAGGTAACTTCAAGGGTTTTGTTGAGAGTTTTAATGTTGTCTGAGAAGCGAAAAAAAAAAGATAATTGACTGGTGATAGTAAAAAGGAGGGACAAAAAAGGTGGTTTGTCTTCAAGTAAAATGTCTGCTGTGCCAAAATGTAAAAAAAGATAAAACTTAGAGGTATATTATAAGTTATAAAAAGCTTGAGATGATATAAATTTTGTCTTGGTTTATAGTACTGAAGACAGCAGGTTTGACAAGAAGTAAATGTGTTCAAAGTTTGACAGTATTGGATCAGTTTTGATAGATTTATTTATAAGATTCTAAACCTTTGCTGCAAAGTGTTTCCATTAATATGAGATTATAGATGATAATAGAGATAAGATATAAGTTTTCACATGTGCTGTGGACCTCTGGGAGATTATATGGCACAATTTTGTTACCTATGAAAAAGCTTCTTTTTGTTAAGTATGTAATTTCAGTAAAATGATGGCCTGCCAGGTGGCACCCTGGGACAAAAGGTGGTGTGCCATCCAGATAAAGCCTGCTCTCTGATATGGAATGCCAAAACCATGTTGTCCTTTTGTCCCAAGCCGATTGGACATCCAGAGGTAAGGGGGTTTCCCTAGTATCGCCAGTTGGTCTCTTTGCAACTCAGTCGGCCCCACATGTTAGAAAAAAGATTACAAAGGTTTGAGAGTTTAAAAAAAAAAATGCCCCTCAGCCAGTTGATAGAGATAGCACAAAAGGTCTTTTAAAACTAAAAAAATTACCGTCTACTGGGAAATTTGTCCAGCGTACCTGAGTCCTCACAACTGACTTAGAGTTAAAACTGTTGGGCAAATGGAATCAGGAGATTCCAGAAGTCTGGGCAGAAGACAATCCTCCAGGGCTAGCAGTCAGCCAAGTCCCCCTTCTGATGGAGCTCTTACCCCAAGCATGCCCCTTCTGCTTGTGACAATGCCCGATAAGCCTGCAGGCCCGGAAAGGGATTTAAAGTCCACATGCAGAGGCTAAGAGACAATGATATTCTCATTCCTTGTGTCTCT